ATTCTGGACTCAACAACCTCAACTTTCAATGACCAGTCTATTTCAGGCATTAAAGAAGGCATCGTCCTGGGAAATAGTACACATTATTTTATGTATTATGCACAGAACTTCATGAATGAGATATTAGGTTGACTTCTCTAGTGACAAGATTCTAGAGACCATATTTCATGTAGAGTATCTAAGGCATGAATTAAGAGAACTATTAAACAGCTGCCTCTGAAAATAGGAGTCCCATGCCCTTTTTATTTCTTCTTGTTCTCTCACAAAGGATCTAGTAAGTAAAAATTAATGAGCCCTACCACATGCTGCAGAATCTCCCAAATGGTGTTTTCTTATCACCTTTTTAAGATCACCCTTTCTCCATTCCTCTTCAGATATGGGTGAAAACAATGCTGTCTTATGTTGGGGGAAGAGGGCAATGTGCATTTTCACCTAACAGACTGCCTGTAAGCCTGTTTAAACTAGCATCCATCTCATTCATACTCTTATGAGTTAAAAGAAGAAAAACATTAGGCCTGCTGACTTGCAGGAACTGCTGAGATGAGACTATTCACAAAGCTTGCTGAAAAAGCTCTATTGCTTTGCTTCACTTTCCTTCACTTGAGGGCAGTTTATTAATTCAGAGCACAATGGAATTCTCGGATGGCAAAGTTGAGGATCCACAATTTCAATTTTGTGGTGGTTTCTGAGCTACCAATTGGGCATCACAGCCCGAAAAAGGTTGGGCCATAGATGCTCCTTTTGAACATAGCATCGTAGAATATACATAAGGGATCCCAAAGTAGTGAGAACAAAGTTGGAGTAATGTGTGTTTGTGTTAAAATGCCTTTAGGATGACTCAGAAATGGAATGGATAGTGGTCTAATAGAATTCATGTTAGTTTCCCAACAGGCAGAAAAAAACCCCAATATATATTGATAGTGAACCTGTGCATTTCATACAAGTATTGAGATCCAATGAGATGTAGAACTACTACTACTACTACTACTACTACTACTACTACTACTACTTCTTCTTCTTCTTCTTCTTCTTCTTCTTCTTCTTCTTCTTCTTCTTCTTCTTCTTCTTCTTCTTCTTCTTCTTCTTCTTCTTCTTCTTCTTCTTCTTCTTCTTCCTTCTCCTTCTCCTTCTCCTTCTCCTTCTCCTTCTCCTCCCTCAAATTTGTTTCACCTATTGACTCCAATTAGGTAAGATAGCTTATTAAAATTTCTCTGAAATCAATTTTTTTTCTTTTGATTGTTGAAATGTAATAGCACTGTTGGGAGTAGTGTATTAGTCATTCTAACTAAGGCTGCTTTTTCATTGATGAAAACATGTTTAGAAAACAGTTATTTAAAATCTTCATTTACTTAGGCATTTCACTGACAAAGCTTTCAGTTTTCTACTGATGAATAATTTGTTTTAGGTACTTGTATTATTATGGAGGCTATATTTAGAGGCATGGAAAATAATGGGAACATTCCCTGACTTTAATGTAGAAACTTAAACCAGAGGTCTGAAATTCTAGATGTCCTTAGGGATGATTCAGTCACACTACAATTCTGTGTATTCCTAGATTTTATTCCCAATCTAGATTGATTGCATCTCCATCTGTTCTGCATCCCTGTTGGCTCCACATGCAGACTTTCATACATAGAGTGTGGAATCTAAATTGGGAAACTAATCAGATACTAATTATGTGCACTTTCATTAGTCATTTATGGATTTTGTGGTGGTCAATTATGGTCAATTACTTTTTTCCTTCATCTAATAGGGAAACTGAATTCAGCAAGGATGAAGGCAAATAGATTTTCAGATCTTATTCAACTAAGGGAAATACAGGGTTGGGCTTGCAAGGATGGACATAGTTAAAGGTTTCTTCTAGTCAAGAGAATGTTGAATAAAAGCCAATTTCTCAAACAGTCAAAGATGGGGACATTGCTAGACTTTTTCTCATACACATAAACTACTTTTCTTCTTAAGATCAGTATAATAAGAAATATGGAAAGCTCTAAACATGTGATTTGCCTGCATGATGACAACTAGATAACATGAATAAATTATGAACAATTTGTCATGTTCATAATGCCATCTAGGCAACAATGGGACTGTGATAGAATTTAATAATCATGATCTGGATTTCCTGCTCGCTCCAAGGCCACCTACTATTTTGAAAGGGCAGGATTGGATAACTTCATTCTCAGCCTGCACCTCACCTTCTGAGAAGGAAACCCTCCTTCCAAATGCTCTTTTTTTGAATCCAAACAATATTTTTCATCTTCTATTGTTATAAGCAGGACAGCCATGTCCAGCTGCAATGCTTCAATTCATCATATACAAATGCCTCCATTCCTATTGCTTTGGGTATGAAATTCCAGTCTTGCTCTTTGCTCTCAAGCCATTTCATTATGGATTGCTGGACTACATGCATCATCTCCTCCTCCTTATAATGGAACGGGGATTTCCCTTTTTTAAAGTAGGTTGAATAGACTTTGGCTACACCTCCCCCCTAAATAGGTGAAATTGACAAGTTAGAAATACAAACCTCCCCCACCTTTTTTAAAATTTGTTCTCAAAAGAGATGCCTATAGAAGGAAAAACAATTGCTTTCTTGTCATGGCTGGGAGAGAAAAAAGCAGTAGGGCAATTCACCAAAGCTAGCTGTGCTAACTGGCCCCAGAAAGTTCCACTTGGCCATCACTATGGCCAAAGAAGAGAAATATTTGAAATCCAGAACCGAAATTCTTAAGTCAGCTTCATTTCCAGGTAATACATAAACAGTAGCTAAAATGCACAGTGCAGAAAAACCTCTAAGACATAACATATGTTGAATGGAATTCCCTAGAAATAATGTCTGTATCTGTCTTGTGTAAAAAGGGAAATGGAGTCATATACATCATTATGCCAGTGGAGGAAAAAGAGAACTATAACTTGAGTTAGGCAAGGAGGGGGATAAGAGCCAGTTTAAACAAATTCAAATCTACAAGACCAGTTGTGCTAGACCAGAGAAGGGAAGGAATTACCGGAGGTGATTACAGAATTATTCTCAGTAATCTCATACATCCAAGCAGAAAACTAGGCAAATATATGATGTTAGTTACGGTATTTGATAAGAAGCTGGGGATAGAATATAGTTTGATTTCTCAAAGCAATGATTCCCATACAAGAGAGACAGAAGGACTGTAGATGCTGAGTAGGCATTAGAGAAAGAGTCTGAAATTACCAGAGGATCTCTAGGGAAGGGATTGAAACAAGAATTGGAAAATGGAAGTAATGGCTAGTGACTTGAACAGACATAGACAGTCCTGCCTGTTGAAGATTTATTGTTTTAATAAAGAAAAAATGTGGGGTGGTAAATCTGAATTGGGTTAGATAATGTTTAGACTGCTGAAGGTGTTTTAGTTGGAGAATGACCTTCAGACCAGAATGTGAAGAAGACATGATCCAGGTAATTATGGATGAAGATGAAGAGGAGGATGCATCATGGGACCTGTCTACTCCAGTCAGAAAACATTTCTGGGAATAGAACTTTATAGAAGATGAAAGATTTTACCAGTCAGAAAAACCAGTTTCCAACCTGATTAACAAAGGGAAAATTGCCACCAGTATCTGTAAGCCCTTACTTAAGCCTAAATTAGGAAATAGGTAGCATGTAGGATAATGCACATATAAATTATAGAATGCATACATATTTAACTAGAAAACATTTACAACACATTAATATTAAATAGAGAGAAGAAAGCTCAGTCTCTGCAATTTAGAATCTGAAGTGGCTGTTCTTATCTCAAAATGGATATCAGGCATGGGAGAATAATGGTGCTCTGGTTGTAAATTAAGCTTGCAAAACTTGGCCGGGAAATCAAAATTAAATGATATTTACTTAATAGAGGTGGAACAAAAATCTGAAATGGTGTTTTGCACTAAATTTCTGCAAAATCCAGAAGACCCATGAAAGCCCTGCTTGCAGCCCTTTCCAATCTAAACATTGCAGAAATTGGTGTTGTCTTGAGAGATTTTCTGACAGCTTCAGTGGTAGCTAAAAGAATCAGAAGGAGCTTTGCACATGCAGAGAACATTGATAGAAGCCCTCTCTGGCCTCAGCCTGTATCATATATCCATACAGTCCTGGGGGGGGGCGGGGAGTAGACTCCAAATTGTATTGGACAGAAGCAATGGCCTTGAGGGTCAGGAGAAAAAGATACTGACCAAGAAAATGGCCTGAGACTGGGACAAAAATGTAATGTGATAAACTTCTCAGATAAGCTCCCCATTGGGGTTGGGACATTCAGATTTGTAAGATTTTACTATTAATCCTTCATAGTAAAAACAATACAGACCAATATGATGTTGGTTTCCTAGTCTGATCCACCTTGAAACATTGACACTGATAAGAGTGGTGCAGATCAAAACAAATTTTCTTTGGTTTTAGCAAGAAATTTGAACAGGTGCTTTATAGTAATCTGTATCATGGATCTTAAGCTACTGAGAAACAGCAATTGAGTATTATTTTACAAAATGCAGAATGGTAAAAATAATGTGCAATATGTGTTTGCAACAAACCAGCATGCTAATCAGTTGCAGTTTTTGATGCAATATCTCAGAAGCTGATGACACCCAAAGAATGTAGCTTCTGCACTAATTCATAGAACTCACCTTCAGTAAATTGTAGAAATAAGAAACCGTAGTGACCTTTCTTGCACACATTTTCCTTAAAAAAATCTTGTGATAGTAAAACACTAGAGGAAGTGTCTTTTCCTTTTATTTCAGTTTTTCTTCTCTCTCTTTTTTCCCAGATGCTTGTGATGTCATTTAAGAAAGAAGCTGAGATGTCTAGTCATTAATTTAATTAGAAGCAGAGATCACACGAATGTTATCTTTTCATCCAACTATAAATTTAGTTGAGTATTTTATCACAGCAAGGCTAATAATAAGATTGCAGAGGACTTTTGTCAGCTGTGTCATATGAGAAATGCCACTAGACCAGCAGATGCCATCACATTTTTTTCTTTTTCTTTTTTTAGGATAAATGTTCAGAAAGCTCTCATCCTAGTGCATAAATGAAACAGAAGAATGAAAAATAATTGTAACTATCCTGCATGGAAGCTACTAGATGGAAAACTGCACAGAGGTTTGGGCCATTAAAATGATCTGCCACCGCTTATGACAAACAAGAGAGTAGATATTAAGAACCATGGCTAAGAAACCACTGAGATATGTGTGTGTCTATTTAGGGTTTTTTGGGTGGGATGGGGGAGAGAACCTTCTATATAAATGTCTGGGATGCTTTTATAGGGATGCTGATGCAAACAAATGGACCTTACCCCTTCACACTGCAAGTGAGGTTTTCCAGGTTTGGTTGCTTTCCCATATGTCAATTTTCGTTCCACAAGGTGAAACAACCCTAATTGGAATACATATTCTAGCCCACTAAGGCTGTCTTTCTGTTTAGAAGAAATGGTTAGACTTAGGGCAGGAAATCCTCAGTTTATGGGCTGTATGTAATTCCTCAGTACCCTAAGATTATGGGGCTCAAGTTCAGAACAAAAATTCACTGACGTATTTTGTTCTTCCTCCTCCACGTTAATGGTAAGAATGGGAGCAGACAGTGTCTAGGAAGCAAACCATTCTATTCTCATATATTTCCCAAAACTGGAAAATTACTTAACGTTGCTTAAAATAAGACCAAATAACAGGGCTTGGTAGAAAGTTTAAGTTGGGAATGAAAGTACTTTTCATCTCAGAGACATTCCATTTCCATTCCCAACCTTAAAACCTCAGAACCAAAAGATTTTGTCACTTGTTTCGGGTGATGTCACCACATCATTTTCTGACATCTGGAAGATTAAAAGATGGAATTGCAGCCTCTGACCTCAAACAGTTTTTGTTGAAAAAGGGGGGAGCATTCATAAAAAGATCTGAAGTGAAATTACATGTTGGACTGATCCATTGGTTTTAATTCTTGAATTATAGAAGTCTTATAAAGACCTCCACTAAATTGAAGCCTCAGTACCCTGGTTCTTTGTGAACCTTCCTTGGGCAAGCATCATCATTCAGCAGCAGGGAAGGAAAAGAAGAACAGTGCAGCAAGCAAACGAGAACAACAACATTGCCTTATCTTTTGCCAGAAGACTCTAGATATACTTCTATATATTAGAGGAATAAGCCATAAATTCATTATCTGCCATGTGCATCACTTATATCCCCATTTAGTAAATGAGAATAGCATATCTTCACAGAACAACAAAATACGAGGATGACTAACAGTCAACAGTATAGTGAGTAAGATTTGATAGAAATGTTTATATTAATATGTATTGGAGGTGTAAACTTGTACTTTATAAGGTTTGCTTCTTGACCTTCTTCACAGAATGAAGAGTAGCATACAAGAGGTAGTTCCTTTTATCACATCTTCATGAGGTAGGGTAGGCTGAGAATCAACAGTTGCTAAATAAACATCAAACCGAGCAACAAACCTGTTCAGAAGCATCTGAGGTCTGGGTGGGAAAAGGTGGGTACAACTGAGTAATTGAAACTCTGCCACTTTTGATGTGTCTGAGATGCACCTAAAAAGGAAATGCACCTCACTTATGTAGTTTTACTTGCCATCTTAATCTTTTTTTTACTCTATCCTCCCAGTTGGTGCTCCTGACCATAGCCTCACATTCCAAATTAGTCTTTTCTAGAATATTTAGTTATTTGTTTGTTCATTAAATTTGTTTGCCGCCTATCTTATCACAAGATGACTCAAGCATATAAATGTTCTCTGTTCCTTCCTTGAAGCTTCAACCAAATGAACTTAATTTCATGCCAGGATATCAAGTGGCAAATGCAAGTCATGAATCAGAACAAACTTGGGGAAAAGAAAATATATGTAGGCTTACATTTTTATCTTAAGACATGCCGTTTTGACTTTCCTTCTTTAGCTTAAATGACATAAGAGAATGGAGGGATAAATCACTCATCATCAAACTGTGTCTCCTTAGGTTGGCATCCCGAATAAACCCAAGTGAAGCTATGAGAACAATTGGAAATTATTCCAGCACTTAAACATCACACTACTGGTCAGAATATTGACACTTTTATAAGTGTCAACAAAATGTGGGCAGGATACTGAATGAACAATATAGTTCATACTAGTTCTTACAGTATTGCAGATTTTTTTTCATGTTGGAAACATAGGCTGAGAATATTAGTATAGATTCTACTTATAATGAGAATTCCTTATTAATGGCTAGTTAAAAGTCCCTTTATAATGGATAAGTCAGAAAAATTTTTTTAGGGCTACAACATCTGTACTGAAAAATCCTGATAATCACTAGATGTCAGAAATGTTATAAAAAAAACTTTCATTGCTACCATCTAATGGTTGTCCATATTTCTGCAATCATTGTATAGTTGTCCTAGAGTTTTCAGTGTACTTTCTTTCTACAAATAAATGGAAAACAGATGTTAGGGCAATATATTATATTACAGAATAATAAGAACTAATGATTTTAGATATAATGTAGGTATTGTCCATTTGTGACCCAAAGACTAAAGATATACTTTCAAGTTCATAATCATATCTGCTTTTTCCTTCATCCTTCAATCTTCTCCTTTACATTCTTTAATGAACTGGCTTCCTTCAGATTTTTTTTTCTTAAGTGTATCGAATTTATAAAAATAACAGTGAAATTCTGTTTGTTTGCAGACAGCACTCCGACCTTTATACATTCAACATGAGTTCTAAAAGAAATATTTATGTCTCTTATTTGTTCACACTCCTGAGAACCTTGCATAATTAGGCTCTAGGTAGCATGAAAAATCTATGAACTGTTTCAAACAGCATCGTAAGCTATATTGTAATTAGATACATCATTGTTGGTTATGATTTATTAAATAAATAAAAATTAGCTGAGATCCATTACACACAAAACCACAAAACATTGATTGTGTACACACAACATGCTAAGCTATCATACAGTTTTCTGAATTTTGCCTTAGTTGTGTGAATTCAATCTTTTTGCACACAAACATAGCCACATCACTCTATTGATATATAGAGAAATCTGTTCCAGACTTAAAACTTCTTAAGTTTTAAATAAATTTATAGAAGGGATATAAAGACTAGTGCAAATCCTCCACCCCGAATATGGAGAGGAACTTATAATTAAGTAACTTCTTGGGGGCAATATCTTGTAGCAGCTCTTGCCTTCTTCCTAGGGATGCTGGGGATCATTTAGTCATAAATATCTAAGGGTTACAGGTTGTTAGTCTTTGCTCCTAACGTTCTGTTTTGAAAGAGAAAGTATATAGTGAGGTTGTGACCATGTTATAATCCCAATGGGATCAGCATTTTTTTTCTCTTCACTAATATGAACACAGATCTCTCTCTCTCTCTCTCTCTCTCTCTCTCTCTCTCTCTCACACACACACACACACACACACACACACACACACACACACACAAAAGAAAGGAAAATTGTCCAGTCTGATTGTGCTTATGTACTTTAATTGAGCCATCTGGAATATATTGGACCATGTAGCATCTTTAGATACTGAGTGGAATCTTCAAAATTCAGTTTCCTGGGGGTCTTTGAGATTTTCTTTACAGATAATCATGTCAAAGAATAGTTGATTGCTGGACGGGGGTGGGGGAGAGAGGAAGCATCTTTCTAATTAAGTAGAACCCCCCAAAATTGCCTTGTTTCAAGAGAGCTGGTGACAGTCAGAATAATGGTAGTGCCTAGAGAAGACACTGCCATTATGGGAACATGGAAGGAAAGAAAAGAACAGAACAATCTGCAGCTAGGTAGATGGGCTTTATTATTGTGGTAATGCGTATAACCATTGAAAGTCTTGAATGACCAGGCTGGTTCTATTTTACTTGGTAAGTAGACTTGTCATTGTCATTGCAGTGATGAACGGCATGATTCATTGTCATTAGTATTTTTCTGCTCTTCTTGTCCGTGGCTTTTAGTTCTGCTTGAGTTCAGTCCACTATTCCATCTGTGTATCTAATGCAGTAGGGCAATTTTCTTTCTGCTCAGGTGGAAAGAGCTTATTTTCAAGTAGACGGTGTTGGACTGCATCAGCTGCCACACCAGTTAGCAATTTGAAAGTTGTTGGTAAGCAGATTTATTGTTTATTTAGAATACAGTGTTTGTACATTGGGTGCCACAGAGTCTACAATGTTATTGCAGAGTATTTTGGCTGCCTAAAATTGTTAGTTCGTTTAGTTGAGGCTCACATGCTATCCAGGGTGCATTGCAGAGGATGAACTACCTCCACAGGCAGACTGGCTAATGACATTCTGCAGAAGCATTGGTGTCATCCGGGACTTTTTCTCCACTGATTTTGCCTCACATTTGGGCATGTCTGGCATCAGTTGGTTTCTTGCTGCCACATAAACTGCCATTAGCTTCCCACTGGAGTGCTACCTATTTATCTACTTGCATTTTGCATGCTTTTGAACTGCTAAGTTTGCAGAAGCTGAGGCGAGTGAGGGGACCCCACTCCATCACTCAGTGCTGGGGTCTGAACTGCTGGAGTACAGAGAGCCAACTATTTCTGGATGGAAAATCTTTAAGCCACTGAGCCACCATAAGCAGGTAACTGGCCTGTAGTTGCCTGGTGCTGCCCCTTTTGCTGGATATTTCATTATCAGGTAGGTTTTGCCATATGGTAGCCATTTTTCAATTTCATTTATTTGCAATATATGGTTAAACTGCTTGGCAGCCAGTGAGTTACACCAGTCAGATGTTTCAACTGAAAACCATGCAGTTCATCTTTGTTTGGTGCTGACCAATTCTTGATCATCTTTGCTTTTTTCTCCACTATTTCTACTGCTATTATACATTCTTTCATTTCAGCTTCTTTTTTATTCTGATCAACCTTTTTTGGCCAAGCTGTGTTCTTATAATATTTCTTCGGGTTATCGAGATGATTCTTCTTGCCTACCTGGTGTTGGGGGGCTTGTGGATAACTGCGGTATTCTTGCCTGCTCATGTTGAAATGCGCTCTGGTTGTCAATGTAGGCCTGCGTGCGGCTATGCTGATTCTCAATCTCCATTCGTTTCAAATTGTGCAAGTGTTTTCTGAAGGGTTTTCGCTCTTGCCATTTTATCTGCCACTTCTCGTTGGCTTTGTATGAGCTCAAGCTCATCTTGAGTGGCCTTTAGTTTGGTCTTTGTTTGAGCTGCTTCAGCTTTTCGT